TTCCCTTTGAAATCTGGCACTAGAAAAGGATGCCCTCTCTCACCACTCCTATTCAATATAGTATTGAAAGTTCTAGCCAGAGCAATCAGGCAAGAAAAAGAAATAAAGGGTATTCAGTTAGGAAAAGAGGAAGTCAAACTGTCTCGATTTGCAGACCACATGATTGTATATTTAGAAGACTCCATCGTCTCAGCCCAAAATCTCCTTAAGCTGATAAGCAACTTCAGCAAAGTCTCAGGATACAAAATCAATGTGCAGAAATCACAAGCATTCCTATAAACCAATACCAGACAAACAGCCAAATCATGAGTGAACTGCCATTCACAATTGCTACAAAGAGAATAAAATACCTAGGCATACAACTAACAAAGGATATAAAGGACCTCTTCAAGGAAAACTACAGACCACTGCTCAAGGAAATAAGAGAGGACACAAACAGAGGGAAAAATATTTCATGCTCATGGTTAGGAAGAATCAATATTGTGAAAATGGCCATACTGCCCAAAGTAATTTATGGATTCAACACTATCCCTATCAAGCTGCCATTGACCTTCTTCACAGAACTGGAAAAAAACATCTTAAACTTCATATGGAACCAAAAGACAGCCTGCAGAGCCAAGACTAATCCTAAGCAAAAGAACAAAGCTGGAGACATCACGCTACGTGGCTTCAAACTATACTATGAGGCTACAGTAATCAAAACAGTATGGTACTGGTACCAAAACAGACATATAGACCAAAGGAACAGAACAGAGGCCTCAGAGGCAACACCACACATCTACAGCCATCTGATCTTTGACAAACCTGACAAAAACAAGCAATGGGGAAAGGATTCCCTGTTTAATAAATGGTGTTGGGAAAACTGGCTAGCCTTGTGCAGAAGGTAGAAACTGGACCCCTTCCTGACACCTTACACTAAAATTAACTCCAGATGGATTAAAGATTTAAACATAAGACCTAAGACCATAAAAACCCAGAAGAAAACCTAGGCAGTACCATTCAGGACATAGGCATAGGCAAGGACTTCATGACTAGAACACCAAAAGCACTGGCAACAAAAGCCAAAATTGACAAATGGGACCTAATTAAACTTAAGAGTTTCTTCACAGCAAAAGAATCAATCATCAGAGTGAACTGGCAACAAACAGACTGGGAAAAAATTTTTTGTAATCTACCTATCTGACAAAGGGCTAATATCTAGAATCTACAAAGAAGTAAAAAAGATTTACAAGAAAAAAAATAAACAAACCCATTCAAAAGTGGGCGAAGGATATGAACAGACACTTTTCAAAAGAAGACATACATGAGGCCAACAAACATATGAAAAAATGCCCATCAGCACTGGTCATTAGAGAAATGGAAATCAAAACCACATTGAGATACCATCTCATGCCAGTTAGAATGGCGATCATTAAAAAATCTGGAGACAACAGATGCTGGAGACGATGTGGAGAAAGAGAACACTTACACTGTTGGTGGCAGTGTAAATTTGAAAAAACATTCAGAAGCCATAAATTTTAAAAAAACTAACAAAGTTGAAGAAAAAAAATTAGGAATATTTTAACATTCCATTAAAGCACATATATGTGTTTCTACAGTCTTTTTATTTAAAAAGTTCTTGTAATTCTCTCAATGGAACATACTTTTTTCCTTTTAACTATTTTGTGACCAGATAATAGTTTTTAAATCTTGTAAGAGCTTTTATAATAAGCTGAAGTTCCAAGATTTTATGTTATAATTATCTTTTTCTGTTTTTTAATTTCTCATTCTGTCTCCAACTGTACCAGTTCAATATTAATCAGCTCTTGGACTGCTATTGTTATTTAATGCAATCTGTCCAATAGTGTGGTATCTCAGTCTTTTTGGAAGTAAGATGGTGCATATATACATACACACATACATCCATACATGCATGAATGTAGTAGTGACCATAAAAATTAATTCGTATTCTTATTCTCCAAATAAATATAGTTTTGAAGTGAAACAACAATGAGGTTAGATGACAAGTACCGAATTCTGAGGGGTGAGATGTTAGGGAATTTTAAGTACAGTGATTCTACTAATATTCTTAAATCAACATCCTTGCATATAATCTCCTCTTCTACAAGGAAAAGCCTTTTTACACCCCCCACAGGCACTTTTGGTGGCTCCGTTCTGTGTACTCCCGTAGCACATTGTACAAACTAATTATCACGACTTACTGTACTGTAGTTGTTTATTTACAAGTCTATCTCTTTCACTAGACACAATTCCTTTACAAACCAGACGATTTCTTATTCACATTGGGTTCCCTAGTATATATCACAATGCCTACCACATATTTAACATTCAGTTAGTATTTATCAAATATGATACCTTCAATCAATTAGCAATTTTTATAGTCAGGGAATCTAGGAGTAAATGTTGAATGAGAGAATTGCCATAGATATCTTTTTAAAAGCATACTCCTTATTGCCTTTTTAAAATGCTTTATAAATTGATTTATACACAGATTCTCAGTAATGCATCCACTTTCACACATCATTAACTTGGATAATTCAGAGTCATTATAATTAAAGCACATTGGGGTTCAAATTTATTAAGAAATGTTGAGACATATGAAAAGGCATTGAGTACTATGATAAATACTCCAGTGCCCACCATCTAGTTTAAGAAATAAAGCATTACTAGTATAGCTAAAGCTTTCTGTGTACTTCTCCCCAGTTTGATACCACTTCCATCCCCACTCTACCAGACGGTGCTGCTGATGATCCCAGTGCATTTCCTTACATTTTTACCACCTATGTTTATAATCCTGACTAATGCATAGTATTTGAAAGGTAACAGTTGAAAATGTTACCTTTTATTTATTTTTTTTGAAAATGTTACCTTTTAAATGGTGAAAATTAGATTGTAATTTATTCTGACCTTGAATAAGAAGATGAATTGTCGATTACATACCAAACTGACATTTATTATAAATTTTGAAAATATTTATTTTGTATAACAATTGGACAAGAAGTATCTAGACTTTAGAGGATTAAGTTTTTAGAATAAGATGTATAGGCAGTGGTGAGTGGCAGACAACAAGATAGCCAACTAAAAACAAAATCAGGTATAGATAATTGGTTCTGATGTTTTATAATTTGTGACAAAATGATTTTAAAATAAAGTTTATCTGTCTTAGTTTGTATCAATGAGGGAGGTCCCGTGAAATGCAACCACTCAATCCCTTTGTCAGTGTTTGAACAAATTACTAAAATATCTAGCCCTCTAAAGGCTTTACCCTATTTATAAATTGTAGTTGCTGGCCTCTGCCCAGATTCAGATGTTAGAAATTACCCTATAATCAGAGTCCTCATTGAAACAGATTTAGGTAGACTAACTTCTGAGCCTTTCCAATTCACATGGCTGTAATCTATTAGGTTTCATTGAATGAGACACATGAGGATGCTATAATAAAAACCTTTGATAAAGGATCCCTAGCGTCAAGGTGTATGCTTAAGGCATTGTGTTTCTCTGTCCATAGAAGTGCTTACATAAGTTAAGAAAATACATGCCAATCTCTTCTCAAAGGTAAAACTGGTATTCCTGAATACGGCTATCCCATCAGGAAATTGAGCGGCCTGTGGCCCGAGGAGGTATTGTTTTTCATTTAAGTTCTTTGTTTTCATGAAAAGGCTCTTTGATTCTCAGAATGTATTTGTTTCAAGGTAATTTAGTTTGAATTCACTCATGCACAGAAGCCTCCTGAAAAGTATTACTTAAACTTTTACAGTGTATGTTTTATAGGCAACCCACACCTGATGAATTTCAAAGAGTCTTTCATATGACATCTACTTTAATAAGGAGCACTTGATTTCTAAAGTCTACCAGGTTCTATCATATGGAAACTTTAATTAATAGCAGTTACATTTTCAAACCATTAACTTTACCTCTTAGTAGCAAATCTTTCTTAATATGATTAAGAGATAAATGCATAGCTGTCAATTTTTGGTGAGGTGTTTCAGCTTCAAAGGAATTTAGCTGTTTGAAAGCTTTCCTGAAGTTTAGATATGCTGCCATCAGGTGGTAGTAATATGTCATATCCATGTGGCTCTGCAGATGGCACTCTGCTAAAGGTCACCAGTTTACCCCACAAAGATTTATAATCATGAATGCACAGAATTGTATCTGGAAATTAAAATAACATAGTATATCTGTTATTTTATCAACACTAAGGATATTTTGAATGGAAGCTTTAAAACAGATACCTATTGCAAGATTCAACTGGACATTTTTTTTCTCTGTTCTTGGTTTACTTTTTTTGGTAAATGAACCATTTTATCTTATGCCTTATACATACTTAGAAACTATGGAAGAGCAAAATTTAAAACTTACCTAATTATATCACCAAAATATAATTGCTATTAACCCTTTGCTTCATTTCCTTCTAGTCGTTTTTAAATGCAATTTTTAGTAATTTTTGTTTCTGTTTTTCGTAGTGGAATTGGATGGCAGGAAAAGGTACTTGGCTCTAATAACATTGTATATACAGCTTGTATATTTTACAACTTTTAAAATTATAAGCTCTTTATAACTACTTGATGACTTCTTATTCCATTGATTGAAGTTTTTCATCATTTATATAGTCATTTATCTCTTAGTAGATAATGTAAATTTCTAATATTTACAGTGTTCAGTATTTTATCTCTTCCTTTCATCTATTGCCTATCAAGAGGGCTATTATCAAATTGCATCTATGCTTGATTTTTGTTTCAACACAAAAGAATTTCTAGTTCATCTCTGAGTAGCTATTTTATATTTCCTCGATCGCATTTTTTACTGCCAGAAAATTTGAACTCTCAGTTTTCAACTATGAATGTATAGTCTCTTTGTAATTATTTTCATATCATATGAATGAAATTTGTAAATTGTGCAAAACCAGGTATCACATATGAAGATTTCAGGGCCTGTCATATTATGAGATGAAGCCATTATCTATATCCTGCCAAAATAACATTTTCTTCTCTTTTTTATAGCATAGAACATTGCATTAAAGAGATACAGTCCAAAATTAACAAACAATGTCCAGGTGTGCAACTGCAAACACCAGCTGACTGCTTTGAATGGCTAACTCACTATAATTGCAGTACATCCAAGTCATCTTTCATTTCACATGGAGATTTGACAAAATTCCTCAAAACACTGGTAAAATGAATCTTTGTTTTATCATAGATTGAGATGAGTAAACAGGGAATACAACTCATTCAATTTCTATATGTAAATATTTATTTGAGTGACCATATTAGGCTGCCATACCTACAGGGTTTGTGTTTTCGTTTTATGTTTCTATATTCCCAATAGAATCCACCAAGCTGTTTGTTTTAATATTTAGCTATGAATTTTATCAATAAAATAAAATTTTATATAAACGGATATTAAATATTATGATTCCTGTGTGATTTTTGGTAAGATATATATCAATACCACAAAATGTATTGATGTGTATCACAGTTGTCTCCCAGAGAAGTTCATATTCTTCATATTTTATATCCCTTCACAACCATTCATTTTTTCAGTGCTCATTACTAAGCATAGTAAGATCCCCATTGATCGTGTCTATTAAGTGGCCTTTACTATTATTCCCTGCATTCCTAACCTCAAGTCTTACCCAGTTCATTTCAATCAAGGTAGCAATTTATGCAAGACCACCAAATGATGGAGAATTATTATATTGGTCATCCTTGATACTGACCACCCTCTATGCCAGAGAAGTTTTTGTAACCTTCAACAAGAAGAGTTATTTTATCACACTTGTATCTCCAAGACTGGCTAGCTTGCAAAAACAGATTCCCAGAGAAACAGCACAATTGTTAGAACGCAGTATTTCTGTAGCTATGGTTTTAATTTAATTTAGGGGGAATAAAGGCACTGTTTTTGTCTAAACATCAAACATTGACTAAGGCAGATGTGGAAAATATCTGGGGGTTGTAGATGGCTTAGGATGACAGAATCAGATGAAAATAGCTTTTGCCTGTTATTATTTCAGATGTCTCTTTAATGTTTACAAAGTAATAAAAGGAAGAGAAAGGAAGACTATGTGCCCTGAAGCCTTATTCTTTTAAGGAAACTTCTCACTCATTATCTCTTGAGGGTGGAGTCTTGAAGAATAAATATGGATATAGTTATTCCTTTAATTTCTATTAAGAGCCATGTGTATTGAATTTCATTAATACTGATGTAATAATGCTTTCTCATTTAATTAAAAGCAAAAGCTTTTAATTATCTTTTAATCTGTCACACATAAGTCATTCTCTATTCACTGCAGGGCAAAGGCCACTTTCGTTTTGCTCAAATTCATTAGACTGATAGGCTTGTCCCAGTCCTAGGGTTTTTTTTACATAATTGATCATGTTATTTTAAGGAAGAAACCACATTATTAAAACAGATCCAGATTTAAATGACCTTATTATCAAGTTTCTACATGCTAAAAAATGTCAGTCATGATGGCATTTTTCATACATCTGTTTTTTTTCATAGAAAGTTTCCTGTTAATTTTCTAGCAATTTAAAAAAGAAACAGAGGTCCTCATTATGGCAGATGTACCAAAGTTATTTTCAAAATTTAAGCAATCATACTAAACATATATTTTAAACCTCTGTAATCTATTCTTTGTTTGATCAAATATTTACCATTATTGCCTGACTTAAAAACTAAGGCAGAGTCACTAATATGACTCATTTGCTTTATAGAATTTACAGTAATGCTAATGTGTCCTATCTAAGGACATTTCTTTTCCAAAAGCATCAAAATAACTCAATAGCAGGAGAGGAGAGAAAAAGAAGCTATACAGAGGTCATGTGTACTTTGTGGCTCTCTGGAGTGTAGCAGAAAGAACATGGATGAAGAGAAAGAAGCCAGGGATCCATTCTTGAATCTGTACCTTACTGTATGTGACTTTTGAAAAGTCACTGAAGCATGCCTCATTTTTGAATCCTTATATATAAATTGGGTTTTTAAATACATATACCAAAGAGTTATTGTTATGAAGAAACAGGGAAATGTTTGTATAAATACTTAAAAAGCATTTACTGATATAATTATTGGGTATAATTATTTATTACAGTTAGAACATTAGACCCTGCAATGCTTACAATGAATGAGAGAAAATTCCTGAAATTTGCCTAGGAATTGTTTGTAATTCTGAATCACACATAATACCTTTGGTATTTTGTCAATACGAAATTGCAAAGCCAACCTGATTATATGCCGCTTGTACCTTGCTTTCATTTCTCTTGTAATCAGCTTGTTTCTACCTAGAGAATATAAACTAATTTCAGTATTAGCTGAAATAGACATAATTAGGAGAGTCAGCTTGGAAGGAGAATGTGTGTGTCTAATTCAAAGTTCAAGAAAAAAGTAATGTTTTTGTCCCTGTTGATAATGATACCTACTATTGTTTTCTGCCAGCACAGAAAGTATAAAGGAATAATTTCATATCATCTTTTGGGGAACAATTCTGAGAGTATCTTTTTCTCATTTTGGGTTATTTCTTTGGAGACATTTGAAATATTCTGATTTATTTTCAAAGTAAAATCTTTCTTAACACTGTTCTCAAAAAGGAATTTAAATGAAAGTTAAAATCTTTCAATGTATTAAAATTTACTTCTCAGAATGGTGCCTCTTAGTAACCCCCAGGCACATACTGTATTTAAAGATCTATATTCTAGAATGATTTTAAAACATTGTATTATATGTTCATTTGGGGTTTTATAATAATTATACTCATTCAAGCATGAAAATTGTCTACCAGGAATTAGGGGCATGATCCTGAATTTATTTTGTCTTAGGAATACATTTCAATCAATATTTTGCTATAGATTTGTATTTAGAATTTTTAAGCCATAGTTTTTATACAGCTCAGGGTATATTGGGTGGAAAACAATGAGGACTAAAAACTATATGTCTGGAAATCTAACTGAAAAGATAATCAACTAGGTTTGAAATAAACAATTCAAAGTTTAATAGACCATAAAAGCTAGCATTCTAAAATGTCTGAACTGATTAAATTTCAAATGCAAAAAAATAAAATCTTGAGGAATTTCAGAGTACTGATTCCAAACTGAAATTATTATGAAATTGTATATGACTCTAGAAATCATTTTTTTCTGTTACACTTAATCACATTTCTAATGTTCTAATTTCATTAGGAAAATTTGTTGAAGAATGAACAAAATCAAGAAGAAATGATATTGGATTTACTTTGGGACCTCTCCTGCCACAGCAGCGTTTCATTCCCATCCACTCTAAGTGGAACATCTTTCCATTTCCTCTCTAGGACATCTCTTCATTCTGTTGAAGATAATTCTTCTATGGATGTCAAGTCTATATGGGATGATATAAGACTGCATCTTCGACGCTTCTTAGTGAGCAAATTACAAAGCCATAATGAAATAAACAATTCACAGCAAAAAATTTTATTGAAAAAGCAGTGCTTACAACAATTCTTGTTTCTTTATCCAGAATCCGAAGTTATAATCAAATACCAAAACATACAGAAAAAACTGTTGGCTAATCTTCTGCAGAACTGCGTTCCCTCTTACAACAGAGATTCAAATTTAGATATAATAGTTCATGGATATCAAAGTACAATGCTTAAGTTATACTCAATAATAAAAGAGGATTTTAACACACTATGTGAAATTTTAGCTCCGTCCTCAACAGTGAACTTCATTAAAGAAACTTACCTGGATACTGTTACAGAAGAAATGGCAAAATTTCTTGAAAATTTTTGTGAGCTGCAGTACAGAGAAAATGTTGTCCGTGTGGTTAAAACAAGCAAGAGCTCCAGCAAGCATAGAAGAGCAGTGCATGCTTTGGGTTAGTGACATTTAAAATTTTTGTTTGGTTTAAGTCTTTTAATATGTTTAATTTTCTAAGATTTTTTCTATTTGGTTAAATTTCACTGCAAACTTGAAAATAAATGTAATGCAATTTTACAGTGTACATTTCTCTCATGCATTTTTTTCTATTAAGTATAGTCATAGAAGTATTTTCTTTCCTATTAAATTGTTAAAGATATTGGCATTGTAAGCCAAAATATTTCAAATGTGAGTTTAATTTCTCTTGATTGCATATGATGAACAGTATTTGTGAAATTGTGTAAATATATATATATGTATATATGTATATATAACTGAGTATATATACTTATACACATATAAGCTTTATCTGCTTATTATAGATACACATATAAAAGCACATATACTCAGTTATACATATGTACGTTTAGTTATATACATAACAGAAAAGTATGAGTTTTAATCCATTGTATTTTCCAAAGCCAAGGCATTATTAAGTAAAAAGAATTATTAAAAATGTGTTGATATTTGCCGTAACTAAAATTGGAAATTTTAAAGTTGTAATATTTTAGTCAGTCAATTCTAATAATGAACAACTATGAAATACTATAATTATAAAATTCTGTATTGTAATTAATTAGAAAGGTATAGCATTTTAACTATAGCTATTTTTTAAAACTACTATTTTTTCTATAAGGATGTATACAAATAAAAGGTGATTTGAAAATTTTTATTTTATTCAAAAGGTAAAAGAAAAAAGGCAAGAAATTGTTGTGATATAATAAACTTTTTTTGTGGTTGTAATTTTCTACCAGTGAAGAAAAATCAAAGTAAAAATAGGATTATTTCTAAAATTATCATTAGCTATGCTTTTATATAAAACTCTGATGTATATTTCTGAGTAATTTCATAAACTATATGGCTTAAGAATTTGAAAATTATTATTTGGTGAATTATTGTGGATCTTTGAATTTATGATCATCTTTTAAAAATTCCTACAGCTAACGATACTTTTGCATATCTTCATTAATAAAATTCCAGATGACCAAATTAATGTGATATATGAATTTTCAAATTGTTTAATATTTAGCCTTAAAATTTTAATTTTTCTCCAGAAGCTATATCACATTGCAGAAGAGAGAGGCATCTGCCCAATTTGGTTATGACAAAATACAAAATCAATTAATTTAGGAACATTATCATTTTGCTCAAAGCAAATAGACTTTTATTTTAATTGTTAATACATAAATTTTTAAATGCATTTCATTAGTGCCCTTGTTTTCTAAAATTTTTATATTCTCTGAAAAAAAAATCCTGAAAAGACTTGTAAAGTCTTTTCAATACGAAAGTTTTATATATGCTAAATATAGTTTATAACAGAAGAAAAGATCCATATGGTTGAAAATGTGTGTAAGTTGCTATGGAGTCTTTAGGGCTGATATTGAAGTGTTTTCTCATTCATGAGAGAAAACTATGTGTGTCCTCTTTAACACCAGGAATTTGAAACATTTTCCACAAGCATAGAATCTTTCCCAAGCTCCTTTATCTGAACTTTGGTATACAGCAATTGTTTAAATATATATATATGTAATTGGACTTTAAGTTCTGGGGTACATGTGCAGAACATGCAGGATTGTTGTATTGGTACGTACATGGCAATGTGGTTTGCTGCCTCCATCCCCCGTCACCTATAACTGGCATTTCTCCCTATGTTATCCCTCCTTAACCTCCCTACCCCCCGCTGTCCCTCCCCTATTCCTCCACAACAGACCCCAGTGTGTGTGTGTGTCCATGTGTTCTCATTGTTCAACACCCGCCTATGAGTGAGAACATACAGTATTTGATTTTCTGTTCTTGTGTCGGTTTGCTAAGAATGATGGTTTCCCGATTCATCCATGTCCCTACAAAGGACACAAACTCATCATTTTGTATGGCTGCATAGTATTCCATGGTGTACATGTGCCACATTTTCCCTGTCGATTCTAACATTGATGGGCATTTGGGTTGGTTCCAGGTCTTTGCTATTGTAAACAGTGCTACTATGAATATACATGTGCATGTGTCCTTATAATAGAATGATTTATAATCCTTTGGATATTTACCCAGAAATGGGATTGCTGGGTCAAATGGAATTTCTGTTTCTAGGTCTTTTAGGAATTGCCACACTGTCTTCCACAATGGTTGAACTCATTTACACTCCCACCAACAGTGTAAAAGTGTTCCCATTTCTCCACATCCTCTCCCTCATCTGTTTTCTCCAGATTTTTTAATGATCGCCATTCTAACTGGTGTGAGAATGTGTCTCAATGTGGTTTTGATTTGCATTTCTCTAATGACCAGTGACGATGAACATTTATTCGTATGTTTTTTGGCCTCATAAATGTCTTCTTTTGAAAAGTGTCTGTTCATATCCTTTGCCTACTTTTGAATGGGTCTGTTTGTTTTTTTCTTGAAAATCTGTTTTAGTTCTTTGTAGATTCTGGATATTAGCCCTTTGTCAGATGGGTAGATCACAAAATTTTTTCCCATTCTGTTGGTTGCCAGTTCACTCTAATGATTGTTTCTTTTGCTGCGCAGAAGCTCTGGAGTTTGATTAGATCCCGTTTGTCTATTTTGGCTTTTGTTGCCAGTGCTTTTGGTGTTTTAGTCATGAAGTCCTTACCTATGCCTATGTCCTGAATGGTATTGCCTAGGTTTTCTTCTAGAGTTCTTATGGTGTTAGGTTTTATGTCTAAGTCTTTAATCCATCTGGAGTTAAGTTTAGTGTAAGGTGTCAGGAAGAGGTCCAGTTTCTGCTTTTTGCACAAGGGTAGCCAGTTTTCCCAACACCATTTATTAAACAGGGAATCCTTTCCCCATTGCTTGTTTTTGTCAGGTTTGTCAAAGATCAGATGGCTGTAGATGTGTGGTGTTGCCTTTGAGGCCTCTGTTCTGTTCCTTTGGTCTATATGTCTGTTTTGGTACCAATACCATGCTATTTTTATTACTGTGGCCTCATAGTATAGTTTGAAGTCAGATAGCATGATGCCTCCAGCTCTGTTCTTTTTGCTTAGGATTAGTCTTGGCTATGCAGGCTGTTTTTTGGTTCCATATGAAGTTTAAGATGGTTTTTTTCCAGTTCTGTGAAGAAGGTCAATGGCAGCTTGATAGGGATAGTGTTGAATCCATAAATTACTTTGGGCAGTATGGCCATTTTCACAATATCGATTCTTCCCAACCATGGGCATGGAATGTTTTTCCCTCTGTTTGTGTCCTCTCTTATTTCCTTGAGCAGTGGTCTGTAGTTTTCCTTAAAGAGGTCCTTTACATCCTTTGTTAGTTGTATTCCTAAGTATTTTATTCTCTTTGTAGCAATTGTGAATGGGAGTTTGCTCATGATTTGGCTGTTTGTTATTGGTGTATAGGAATGCTTGTGATTTCTGCACATTCATTTTGTATCTTGAGACTTTGCTGAAGTTGCTTATCAGTTTGAGAAGATTTTGGGCTGAGACTATGGGGTCTTCTAGATATACAGTCATGTCATCTGCAAATAGAGACAGTTTGACTTCCTCCTTTCCTGATTGAATATGCTTTGTTTCTTTTTCTTGCCTGATTGCTCTGGCTAGAACTTCTAATACTATGTTGAATAGGAGTGGTGAGAGAGGGCATCCTTGTCTAGTGCCTGATTTCAAAGGGAATTCTTCCAGCTTTTGCCCATTCAGTATGATATTGGCTGTAGGTTTGTCATACATAGCTTTTTCATTATATGGTATGTTTATTGACTCTCAATAGCTAGTTTATTGAGAGTTTTTAGCATGATGAGCTGTTGAATTTTGTCGAAAGCGTTCTCTGTGTCTATTAAGATAATCATGTGATTTTTGTCTTTGGTTCTGTGTATGTGATTAATTATGTTTATAGACTTGCGTATGTTGAACCAGCCTTGCATCCCCAGGATGAAGCCTACTTGATCATGATGGATAAGCTTTTTGATGTGCTGTTGCAATCAGTTTGCCAGTATTTTATTGAAGATTTTTTCATCTGTGTTCATCATGGATATTGGCCTGAAGTTTTCTTTTCTTGCTGAGTCTCTGCCAGGTTTTGGTATCAGGATGATGTTGGTCTCATAAAATGATTTGGGAAGGATTCCCTCTTTTTGTATTGTTTGGAATAGTTTTAGAAGGAATGGTACCAGCTCCTCTTTGTATGTCTGTTAGAATTCAGCTGTGAACCCATCTGGACCTGGGCTTTTTTTGGGTGGTAGGCTCTTCATTGCTGCCTCAACTTCAGAACTCATTATTGGTCTATTCAGGGTTTCGACTTCTTCCTGGTTTAGGCTTGGGAGGATGCAAGTGTCCAGGAATTTATCCATTGCTTCCAGGTTTACTAGTTTATGTGCATAGAGTTGTTTGTAATAATCTCTGATGATGGTTTGTATTTCTGTGGAATCTGTGGTGATATCCCCTTTCTCGTTTTTTATTGCATCTATTTGATTATTCTCTCTTTGCTTTTTTATTAATCTGGCTAGTGGTCTATTTTGTTGATCTTTTCGAAAAACCAGCTCCTGGATTTATTGATTTTTTGAAGGGTTTTTTGTGTTTCTGTCTCCTTCAGTTCTGCTCTGATCTTAGTTATTTCTTGTGTTCTACTAGGTTTTGAGTTTTTTTAATCTCGCTCCTCTAGCTCTTTCAATTTTGACGATAGAGTGTCAATGTTAGACCTTTCCTTGCTTCTCATATGGGCATTTATTGCTGTATCTTTTCCTCTGGACACTGCTTTAAATGTGTCTCAGAGATTCTGGTATGTCCTGTCTTCGTTCTTGATGTTTTTGAAGAACATCTTTATTTCTGCCTCCATTTCATTGTTTATCCAGTCAACACTCAAGGGCCAGTTTTTCAGTTTCCATGAAGCTGTGCAGTTCTCAGTTAGTTTCTGAATTCTGAGTTCTAACTTGATTCCACTGTGGTCTGAGAGACTGGTTTTGTTATGATTTCTGTTATTTTGCATTTGCTGAGGAGTGATTTACTTCCGATTTTGTGGTCA